GCCATTTATCATTCAGTTCACTGGGACTAGTGCTCAGTGGGAGAACACTCACCTAGCATGTAAGAGGCCCTGGGTTCAAATCCTCAGTACTACAAACAACTAAATAAGAAAGAAATAATGAAGGCAAAACCAAGATATGACCCAAAGTCAAACCATGTCATCTGTTTGTCACTGCCATGGGGGCCAACTGAAAGCAAGGACCCTGAGATACAGATAGATGAGCCCATGTCACCCTCACTCACTCTTTGTGGGGCAGGTCACATTAGTCTCCTCACTGCACCACAGGACAGAGAAACCTCTCATGGCAGAATTTACCTCCCAGTTATCCACTCACTTGGATGGCTCATGTATTCACTCACTTCTGCAGACACACAGGCACAAAACAAAGAATAAGTAAAAAGAGTAAAGGCCTGAGCTGTGCATGTGGTACACTCCGGCAATCAGGATGCTAAGGTGGGAGAATTGAGATTTGTGGGCCAGCCTAGGAGACAAATTAAAAAAAAGGGGGGGGGGCAGCATTGTCGCTGGCCCCAAGTTGAATGTGCACACGCAGGCCCCCATGGCTTATTGAGCGCTGAATGCCCATACCAAGGGTCTGCTGGCTGGGTCCTACTGTGAGGTGTGCACACAGGGTTAGGCAGTCCTTTGTGTTATTTTAAAAAGCAGGTGTAGAGAAAGAGAGAAGGCAGAAAGGCTCGGCCTAACCTTAGACAGAACCACGTTTATTCACATGGAGGGACTCTTTGTCACTCACAGGTGCAGGTGGCTAAAATGCCTACAGGGGAAGATGGGTTGGGGCCCCTTATAGAGGCAGGAATGACCTCTGAAGTCTGCAAGGGAAGCTGGGAAGTGTAGTCCTTCAGCAGGAAACTACCATTCCTAACTGAAGTGAGAGACAAATGTGGGGCAGGGGTGTTAAGCTACTTTCTGCTGAGGAGGGTCCATGTCAGCCAGCGTAGTTCTCGGTCCATCGAAGAGGGGGGCCTCTGGTCACGCAGCAGGAGGGGAGTCTTAAACTTGATCCGCTGGGATGGGTCAAGCGATGGCTGTCCCGTACTCCTGAAGAGAATTGGAAAATAATTATTAGAGCGCTGAAAGCCAGCAATTTGGTTACAGAGTAAAACAGAGATTTTCCAGGAAGGTTGAGGGATAGGGAGGAACAGAGGTGGAGAAAGTCGGCATAGAGTTGATTGGTCCCATTGCCAGGACTGTTGTACAGATGAGCCAGCAGCCACGGCACAGAGGACAGGGCATCAAAGGAAGGGAACAGGAGAAAACAGAGGACTGGTGGAAAGGCCTGTATCTGGCCTGGGGTGAAAGGGATGACCCCTTTAGCCCGAGTTTCTCCATGGTATCTAAAAGATGCAGTGTGTTGCAGATGTATCAGGAGCAAATGGAACTATTGAGGGTAAGCGCTATTGGGAGAGTTGATGTGGAACATTTGTCTGGGTACAGGGTGAAGTTCAGAAAAGGAAACATTTGAATTCAGGGTAACAACACAGGTGTGAGGGTAATAAGGAGGAAAGAGTGACCCAGGGGAGGAGCCGGAGCAGGAGGGAACCAGAAGGAAGTTTTGTCTAGTGCCTGTGTCTTTAGACCCCATTGCTAACCAGTTAGGATTTGTTGGTGTGGAAGCAGGATTGTTCCAGAGGGCACAAATCCCATCCTTAGCAGGAGTCAGATCCTGGCCTTTTTAACCTTGGAGTACTGCAGCACTCATGGAGTCCAGCTGGTCCTGGAGGACTTTAAGCTGATCTGAGCCAGTGAGACAGAGAGTAATTGAGGCAAAGGAGGCTTCAGTCCAGCTGTTTCAGGTCTGAGTCCCCAAACCATGTCCAGAACAGCAAGAAGAGAGATGAATTGGATAGTCCAGAGCCCAATAGTCCTCTTTAAGAAGTCATCTAAACTGCTCTTAGGGACTCGAAGGGGGGCATCAATTTCTTGGCAACTGCTTCAAGGCTGACAGAAGGGAGGAGAGCAGCAATTAGAGAGCCCCAGAAGAGGGTCCATCCAAGGGGTCATGAGAGAATTTGGCAGTTGGCAAAGATCCAGAACGTAAGTCAGGAGGTAATAACTGTACAACTTTGTGGGGAACATTAAGAGACAAGGTGACATGGGGAAAACATTGACATAAAGATTAACATGAATTAAAGCAACTGTACAAGTGGCTGGACCATGTGCCAGAGTTCTGTGGAAAGATACGGTGACTAATGAGCTGTTGGTTACATCAGTCTCCTACATGAGGAACAAGCTCCTGGAAGTTTAGTAACAGAAGTCAAAGTCAGCACCCAATGAATGACTCTGAACAGAAAGCAGCTAAGTGGTGGTCCTTGTTTTATTGTTGGTTGTTTTTACTCTTCTGGGGGCCTGCCATCCAGTTCCCAAATAAATCACATACGGAGGCTTATTCTTACTTATAAATGCCCAGCCTTAATGTGGCTTTGTTTCTAGCCAGCTTTTCTTAACTTTAAATTATCGTGTCAACCTTTTGCCTCTGGGCCTTTTTCTATTTCTGTAAATCTTCCTTTCTTACTCCATTGCTGGTTGTGTAGCTGGGTGGCTGGCCCCTTGGGTCCTCTTCCTTCTCTTGCTCCTTCTTCCTTTTCTCCCAGATTCTCCTTCTAATTATCCTCTGTGCCTGCCAGCCCCACCTATCCTTTCTCCTGCCTTGCTATTAGCCATTCAGTTCTTTATTAAACCATCAGGTGTTTTAGACAGGCACAGTAACACAGCTTCACAGAGTTAAAGAAATGCAATATAAAGCAAACAAAGGTCACCAAGAAAGTGCATTTTTGGATGTTCTTATCACACAAAGATTAGCATTTGAGATGGTGGCTATGTTCATGAGCTTGATCTAATTGTTCTGTCATGTTCATAAGTCATAACCTCACTTTGTACCCCATAAATAAACACAGCAACATTTTTTCAACTTACAGTGTAAAAATAAAAAATTAAACAAAACATATTTTGTGAAAGAAGCTAGAAACAAAAGGCTGCACATTACATAACTCTATTAACATGAGACTCTGAGAGACAAAATTACAGGACAGAAAACAACTTGGTGATTTCTGGAGTCTGTGGCTGTGAAGCTGACTACAAGAAAAATGACATGTAGAATAAGGTAGAAAAAAAACAATTATTAGACACTGATTTATTGATTTATTTGGTGATTACTTAAATACTGCCTGGACCGCCTATTGCCACACACGGGTCCCCTTGCTCCCTGGAACAGAATGACCTGGAGACACAGCTGAATCAAAGGGTCGTTGCCCTTAACAACTACTGACGGCGGCCACACAGGCCTCTTGCTGACTGCCATGTAAGCGCCTGTAACATCTTGTGGTTTTAGAGCCAAGGCCTCTAGTCTAGGCTAGCCCTGAATTTGCTATGTAGCGAAGGATGACCTTGAACTTCACCTCTACCTCCCAAGTGCTGGAATAATAGGCATGTGCCACCACACCCTGCTTATGCAATGCTGGGCATTGAACCCCGGTCTTCGTATATGCTAGCTAAGCGCTCCACCAACTGAGGCACAATTCTTCGTGATTTGGGAATGTACAATTCTATTCACTATATCTGTTGTGCCATGTAATTATCATGAAGTAAAACCATATTTCTCCTTGAAAAAAAAAAAAAAAAAAAAAAAGAAATGCAATATAAACAAAAGTAACACACCTTAAAATAATATTCTACTACATTGCTTCCAAATATGATGAACTTTGTATATTTGTTTCAAATATTAACAATACCAGCTACTACTTAATGTACAAAAACAGAGTATCTCAAGTGTGGTGGTTTGAATAAAAATGGCCTCCATAAGTGCATAGGAAGTGATACTATTAGGTGTGGACCTGTTGGAGTAGGAGTGACTTTGTTGGAGGAAGTGTGTCACCGTCACTTGGGGGTGAGCTTTGAGGCCTCAGGAGCTCAAGCCAGGCCCAGTGGCTCACCATCTCTTCCTGTTGCCTTCAGATCCAGATGTAGAACTCCCAGCTACCTCTCCAGCACCATGTCTGCCTGCATGCCACCATGCTTCCCACCATGATAATAATGGACTGAACTCTGAACTATAAGTCACCCCAATTCAATGTTTCCTTTATAAGAGCTGCTGTGCTCATGGCGTCTCTTCACAGCAGCAAAACCCTAACTCAGACATCAAGTAAAAGAAAACTTGGGAGCCCGGTGGCTGTAGCTCACACCTTTAATCCCAGCACTTGGGAGGCAGAGGCAGGCGGATATCTGTGAGTTTGAGGGCAGCCTGGTCTATAGAGTGAGATCCAGGACAGGCACCAAAACTGCACAGAGAAACCCTGTCTTGAAAAAAAAGAAAGAAGGAAAAGAAAAAAAGAAAGAAAATTTGGGTTAGAAACAATTCGATAAGGTAAATTTTAAAAATTGAGACTATTACCTTAAGTGACCATATCCAGTATTTGAAAACATAACAATACATATTTTGTTAACATCAAATTGTTATACCTACATTCCAAGATTATATAGTGAATATATTTTATATTGTCAAACTGTGTAAAGAGACATTTTAATTCTAAGTTGTATTCCCCAAAAAGAAATCATTTCCAATTTCTAATTTAAAATAGTATAATCCTAGAGACAGTGTCTGCCTGCCTTGTCAAGAGTAAATGATTCGCTTTACAGAGATTTCTAAAATTAACCCTATTAACAAAGCCTTTTAAAACTTCTCTACAACATTTTTATTCCACACACTCAACCAACAGATGAAAGCAGTCAGTCATGCCAAGTCTGTAACAAATAATTTACATGTAACATGGACTGAATTAACAAAGACAGCTAAAGCCAATGCTTTACTCCTTCTGCAGAAGGACAAATCTCTAGGTCACCACACACTGATAGCAGTAAGCACATTTCTTAACATTTAAAAGTCTATTTAGAAATATTTT